TGAAAACATTTCTAAACAGATAGTTCCTGGCTGAGGAGGTCTGTTCTGCTGCTTACAGCCCTCCTACAGGCCCCAAAGTAAAATGAAACAAAACATTGACCATTTACCTCCTCTGGGGATGTCTCCAGCCTGCTCCTTCCCCAGGGACCCTGCGCAGGACCCAATGTGCCTCTGTGTTTGTGCACAGGATATGAAGGGCTAGAGTGCAGAAGGGTAATTTTTCAAAGAGGTGTGTGGGAGTAGCACTGGAAATTCCCTGCATACTGCTTTGAAAAAAATAACCCCCCTACCTCCATGAATTATGAGCAGGGCCTCCAACTCCAGACTGAGGAGCTGAGAGGTTGAAGAGGGAGGCACAGCCAACTTAACTGGATGCACTTTTTAAGACTATGATGTAAGAAATAATTGAATTCTTTAATCACATTACGGACACTGATACTTAAGAGGTGTCGCTGCTACAAAGCAGGAATTCCTTTGTTGACAGCCAGTTGAACAGCATAAAACTGTAAGCAAGTGCTTAGGATATCTCAACTATTGATTTTGTGTTTCTCAAAGTATAAGAAAGTGCTGCTGAGAGGTCTTGGATTATCAAAGCCAAGGGTTTTTTTTACCTAAAAATTACATGTCAAGGCTAACTTCATTGTCTTGGCTCACTTCAAATTCAAAAGAGAGATAAAAATCTCTCCCTGGAAATGCTTATCCTACTCAAACTCTTATCTTAGATTGGTATCAATCATTCATTTTCCCCAGACAGCATCTCAATGACTATATTAAACCAGACACCTTAATTTTAGACAGAGACAAGTTCATTGAGATGAGTCCAACCCCAAGCTCCTGAGGAGACACGGTCTGAGGGCAAGCTCCCTCCCCGCCCCTCAAACACCCGTATGTTTACCCTGGGATCTCAGTGCCCCCAACACAAACAAATTCTCATCTGTAGATCTTAAGTTGACAACAATGACATTAATAACCCCTGTGACACAGACCTGGGCTACAGAAACAGCTATATTAGCTTCTTTCTCTCGCTGCCCATCTGGCTAGACTTGGTCTGACACAAAGAAGGGAAACTCTTGCACCCCTTATTTTATAAGCGATAAACCAGCCTGAGCAGTAAGGAGCCAGGTGCCCGTCTCTCCTATGGCCTGAGTAAGACATCAAGGCCCTCAGGCTTTGAACCAAGGGCATAGGAGCAAGCTCGAGAGGCAATCCATCACTCTCCTTACTATTACGCAGCACTAAGCAAATTAACACCAAAAATCTGCACAGCATTTATCGCTGGAGAAACGGTGGCATCTAGCCTCTCCTTTCCCCTCCAGTATTCCCCAGTAAAGGACAAATACCAACAGCAGACTCACTGGCAACATCTTTTCAGAAGCAGTCCTGAAGGACAGGGGGCCCAAGGGCCTTGTGAATCGAGATGCCTACAGTGGGAGGAAGCTTGGCTCCATATTAAAGGTTTCTATACTTCACTCCTTCCTAAACTGCACCATCAAAAAAAGTGATGACTTGAAGTCAATGAATGTTCTCACTCCGTATCTCAGCAAAGCGACACAAAGACATGACACCACAATGGAATAATCACACACTTTCTTACCATGTCCTGGTATTTACAATGTTCTAGGTGTACAGAACTGAGTCCATATGCACCTCTATATTTATATAGAGTTCTTCCAAATACGTAGAATAACTTATGTACAGCTTCAAGGAAACAATAGGTACAGTTTTCACAAACAGCAGCACCACACTTTTCTCAGCCTCCTATGTCTTCTGCCACTGTTGTTTTCCAATAGCACTAATAGTGAACCTTGCAATGTCATATGTAATCATGTACTATTCCAGACAGCACTAATTTGGGGATATACATAGATAAACTTCACACATCAGTTACTGCAAAATGAAGAGATTACATCCTTCCAAAAGGAAAAAGAATTCCTCTCTTGAATCAAGTAGAACCTTAACTCAGCACTTCATGACCCTTGTATTTAAAAATCATTTATTAGCTACTGGACCACAAATTCAGTTGAAACAAGCGCTAAGCTTGCCTAAGGACTTCTTTCTTTCAGACTTCTTAAAAAAAAAATCTAGGGGGGAGCTTCATGAAATCACTATGGTCCAATTAACAAGGATCTCACTCTTCAAGCTTGCAAACAAGAGATTACATTAGCACCTGCTACAAAAGCAAACATTTTTAGATATCTTCATCTCAACCTGCTTGACATTGACTTCAAACTCCTGCCTGGCTCTTGGATGAAAATTATTGTGACTGACATGTATATTTTTCATTTGGGGGTGGGGGTGCAAAGACTGTGTCAGTCCGTATTTCTCTCTCTCTGGTGTTTATGCATAATTCACTTCAAAGTTAATAGGAGCTACACACATGCATCGACAGAAAAATAGTTTCCTAAATGTAAAATTGTTGAAGGAAAACCATTATGCTTATGGGAGATAAATGCTGCATGTGAACATATGAGACACACAGAGTGCCCTGTAGGGTCCTTGAAGGATCTCATCCAACATATGCCTACAGTGGCATGTGTAAGTAACTCCTTTGTGGTCTATGCATGAAAATAAACTGACCTCTTGGGCCAACACATATATTTATAACATCTGTACAGACAGGAAAAACATTTCTTTGCGTTCATCAGAAAAGCAATCATACAGCTGCAGCAGAAATACAACCCATCAGATTACAATAACACCTTACTACAAACTCTTGTGACAGGACTATAGTAGAAGGCAGCAAACACTGATTTTCAAAACACTTGTATGTCTGAAAAGTTGAACTTTCTGAAGTCCAGAATTGTTGGAAAAAGAAGAAAAAAACCTCACTGAAATAACTCTGTAAGTGTTTTGTTTTGACAGTGTTCCTCAGGAATTCACCACACTTAGCTGGGAAAATGCTAGCAGTTAAATCTATTCAATGTCATGACATACAAAATTGAAACATAATTGCTCCTAAGTGGTTGACAACTAGCAAGTACTTTTTACATGGATAGAGAGAAATTTATGCTATCAAATGGAAGATACTGTCAAAAGTTTGATTTTAATATAAATGAAAATGCTACATGAGGACTCAAAAGGATAAGGAAAAAAGCTCAGCAGTAACACTTTTATAACCACATATTTAAAAAGCTTTGAAGTGAAGAATCATTACATCAAAATCATTTTCCTTGAAAGATAAAAAAAAATTACAGCATGAATATTAACAAGTTATTAGAATAGTGAATTTCAAAGAGTAGCAAAAAACAAGCAGCCGATGAGTGGCCTAGTTTAAAGAATGTCTTACCAATCATATGGTTAGCGACATGGATTTGTATCTCTCTCTCATTCTCAAAGGTCATCTGGCACTTGATGCACTGATAGGTCTTTTTCTGTTTAATAACCAAAAAGAGATTAGAGAGAACTGCACTGTAGCATAAGGCAAGTGTGATCATGAATATAGCATGTTACGTGCTTCAACTTTCCTCCACTGAGGCCTTTTCTGCTCATGTATCCTCAACAAGACACCAAGTTAGGCTGGGCTTTTCTGGGGCCATAAATACAATCTCTAATTAACAGCCTGCTTTAGGAGAATTTTTAATATCACCCTAAAAAATTTCAAATTATAGTACTTGAAACCTCATTGAGTACTTGAGCCATAATCAGATTGCTCGTGTCATTTAACCCATTGCAGTACAAATTCCTGCAGACTGAAATAAAAGACATTGAAAGGTACCTCTACTTTTAGGTAAAGATTGACTTTCTCAAAAAATTCCATCTTTAGTTAAACTCAAAATACAGTAGGCAAAACACCTCTAGTTACGTGGGGAAGTGAAGGACAAATGGAAAAAATACATTTTGTAATGGTCTCCCATCAGAAATCCTGGAAAAACTGCATTACCACAAAGAATTGTTTCCTAGCACAATCTGTTGTGTATTTCCTTCGTCTCAAAGTCGTACCAGGGAGGCTTAGCTGCAGAAGTCAGGAGACAGTGTGAAGAGGCAATTACATAAACCATTTATTCAAACAGGGAAAATGGAGTTTGCACTCAGATTGACAGTGGTGCATGTACTTGTGCAACATGACAGGAAAAAATCCAAGGCATCGTTTGTAGAAATTAAAATGCATGTTGACAAGTTAGACATCCAAGTTAGGAAAAAAAAAAACCCAAACCACGAATGCTAAGCTTTTGTACACTTGCATAATATCTTATTTCCCAAAGCAGGAGTACGGTCACCCCAAAACACGAATGCTAAGCTTTTGTACACTTGCATAATATCTTATTTCCCAAAGCAGGAGTACGGTGCTTTGGTCTAACGTGCACGCTCATTTACTGCATGGGAATACGCTATCTAAATAGACATCTTTTGACATGCAATTTAGAAAAATTGGGCCTTTTGTGCCTGCTTCTTTCTACAGAATAACTCATCCTGCGACACTTGCCACCAGGCATGAGCAGAGCATGCGGTCCGTATCCTTACAGCTAGAGTGGATGGCAGCAGAAGGTACATGAAATCTCCATGCGCTGGCCACAAGCTCAGTTAGCAGAGGAATGGATGAGAACCCCAAGCCATTAGCATTGAGAAACCCAATTCAGCAGACAACACCCTCTTCACTTTTTTGAAGCAGCATATTTTGCAGGTAATTTTTGTACACTTTCAGATGCACATTAATTTGTCTTACAGCCTCCACCCCACACCTAGGTATAGAATCCCATTTTTAGGATGGCTGTAATAAGTCAGAAGTTTTGAGTTAAACAGAGGAGTTGCTGTCACCCCCTCTGCGCATGGGATCCAATTTCCTCAAGCACCTGCTGAGGAAAGAACAAATTAGGTGCTGCCAAGAGCTTCTTAACTACTTTCCATGTCATCAATGGCAACAAGTTAGCCTGCTGGAGGTTAATGAACATGCTGTAATACCATAATAACAAATGCACCAGTCTATGGATGTTGTGCGTATTCCATGAATTCTGTACGCAGTATGTGTTGCACATAGGCAGGGCTTTCTAGGCTAAAATAACAATGGGTGATTAACACGATAATAGGAAGAAGGCTATACTCCATTGGCCAAAACCTGACACAACCAACCATACAAAAGGAAATAGTTTGGATTGGCTAGTTATCCCTAGGCAGCCCAAGAAAGTATCCTCCTGGAGTCCATTTGGAAATCAAGGCTGTTAATGGAAAAGCAGCTGGATTTCTGCAGCACTCTCTTGGGAATCTGTTCCAGCAGACAAGCACAGCACACATACGTACACATGTCCTCTCAAACGCACTGGCACACACATGCTGGGGGTTCCTAACTTTAAAAACAAAGCAAAACAAAACACAGAAAGCCTTGGAACAGAAAAATGGGATTGGGCGGAGAATGATTCATGTGGTTACATTTAAAACTCGAAACCTTCCTCTTCTTTAAAACTTCAAAGCTGACTAAGTTCTGTGCCTTGTTCAACACTTATCTCTGTTATGAGGGTTCCCTAAGTAACTAGTTAAAAAGGACAGTATTTCAGCTCAACTCTATTTCAAACCTTTAAAGTTATATTACACACAGACAAATGAATCATTTTTTTTAATTGATTTCGGTGCTTCTGAAAGCTACTTACTAACAGATCTGGAGACAGGATGTCTTTGTTTATCCACAAACCCAGTGCGAACTCCTCCACACCATTTCACAAACTTATAAAACACTCTGCTTGGCATGACCACTCCTCAGAGAAGACGGCAGATTTCAGACTTCCTCAGAGTATGACCTTCAGCCTCAGCTGAGACACGTGCATGCAAAAGAGCAGCTTAACTGAGGCGATGGTTCCTGTGATAGGGTACTCCGCTTGATATGGACTGAGGTTAATAAACAGCCTCATACAGGCCAAGAAATCACTATAGCTACATTAGCACCCAAATGTATACGCAAGAGATGGAAGAGCTGATTTTTTTGCTCATTAATAATTCTCTTTAAAAGAATGTCACAAAACCAGACTTGCGTTCTCAGTAAATGGGGAGCACTAGTTTTAATACAAGGTTGTGTTATTTGTGGTACCAAATATGATCTTGTGCTACCATTTTTGTGGCATCACGGCTTCACGAACATTATTAAGGGGTCAGATATCTCTTTTTAAAGTTTTGTCTTCACAAGTGGTAACAAAGGTGCCCAGACTCTGAGGAGCTACCAGAGTCTAGGTGATAGCATCTAGGTGACATAAGAGACCACATGGGCAGGCCTTCAGCTGAAAGCTCAATCTCCATTAAGTCAAGATATTTAATTCTAATCTTGGCACAAAATAGTAGTAATAACAACAGAGGGTTCTGGTTTCTTTTCTGAAGTAACTATTGTTCCCATGGGTTTTCCAGACTGTCCTCCTTTAAATCTGGAAATGGTTTCCTGTTCTACAAAGAAAATATTCCTCCATTCAAGTGGATTTACAAGGGAAGAGAAGGGGTGTGGGGGAGAACAAAGAGAAGGAATTGAGTCCAAGAAAGTGTGCAGGAGAAAAGGAACTGAGTAAAGGAGCACAATAGGGTTCATTCTTCCAACTTTGCTGCTTCAGTCCAAATAGCCTAGGTGGGCTAAAAATAGTAGCGCCATTCATGATGAAAATTCAATTGAAGTCTAAGCATTTGCCATTGTCAATGTTAAACAAGCATTGTTCCTGATAACTATGGTACAAAATAAGGATAAATCTGTGTAAGAGAAAGAGCAGCTTGAAACGTGACTGTTTCCAGTATTAAAAGGGCCAATGAGAAATCTCAATACTAAACAACTAGTCACGTTTCTCAAGACATGCACATTCTTCTAGAAGACATGTTAAAAGGAATTAAGAAAATGTATTCAAAACCGAAGCTCCTACACACAGAAATATGTCCAGAAAAACATGAAAGCATTACCTCTGATGTGATCATAATAGAATAAAAAAAGATCTTGAGCTATACATGTGCCAGATACTGGAATGGTACCTCCACTTGTGATGCTCATCTAAAAGAAAAATTTTAGTCCTATCCAAACAGAATAGCTCATGTAAAACTCTTAAGAGTCAAACACAAATTGATGTTAGAGCAATCTTTTACTACTAAGGTAGTATTTTATTTATTCCTCCTAGTGATGTTCCTTACAGAAGACCATTGACTTGACTTAAAATCCCCTAATAACAAATCCTCCAATGCAGATGTTGCCAAGTACACAAGGCAAAAACTTGGTCCGTCTGGAAATCTGTCGTTGTTGACCATTATGACTGGATCCTAGTTAGATGTCCTAGAAACGAAGGTGATCAATTCACGGATATTTCTTCCTGGTGGTTTGCCATACTAAAATGTAAGTGAGGAGGACAGAAGCATTTTCAAGAGTTATGTGCTTTCTTTCATTCTTATGGATAAAAAAGCCAAAGCCCAAAACTGCGAAGCAATTCTGAGTGCTTTTTGATCCTCATCTAGCTGTCTCCAACTGATTTTCAGAACAAAACCTCCAAAAATTCCATAGTAAAAAGCCCAAACAAAATATAACAAAATATTCATATGCCCTTCGTTGTGCGATATCCATGTGCATATATAAACACACTTAAATACATACAGTAAAAAGGAATTGTTCTTTTTCTCCTGCTCTATTTTTTTTTCTTCCCAAATATTTTCATTTTTATTCATCAAGAGCTAATATTTATTTTCTTCCTTTCTTTCACTTTGGGGTTAAGTCTTCATTTAAGTTTTTTTCTGAAATTCCTTTAGACTTCCACACTCAATTCTTCAATTCAAGAAGTATAACTGCTGGTGGAGAGATTTCTGACACTGAAAGAAGTTACGGATTTTGTATGTCATCATCATCTTTTCCATTTGCCTGGATTTCATTCTGCTTATTCTTATTTACTCTGAAATACATACCCACTACTCAAAATCTAATCTCCCTATATTTTCTCTCTGACTGTACTTTGTCCTAATCTTCAACTGCGTTTCTGTTTAAGAAAGAAAAATCAATAAGGTGTTTAAAAAAGAAATGTAGAAGTGCTCAAGAACTGGAGAGAAGCAGCTCTTCTCTGGACATCTGCAGATTACTCTATGTGCATTGTGCACTTAAGATTGCTCCAGTAAAATGGTATTTTACCTGTGCGGAGCATGCTAATGAGATGACAAGAGAGATTGTGTTCAACTTGCTTAGCTTTGCTATGAAGCCAGTGAAGTTAAGTAAACGTTATTCTTGAAATACAGAGATTTATCACCATTTAAAAGACAGTGTATTTCTTTGAAAACCCCTGTGCTAGGCAGACACAAAGGGCACTGGTTGCCTTGAGAAACCTGAGTGAAACACCAGTAGTTTCCACATGAACTGGTATCAGAATTCAGGTCTTATACCTATAATGAAGGGTAAGATACTGAATTTTTCCTAACAACAATATGTCTACTCCTGAGATGCACACCATAAAGGTCTCCGATATTAGCATATGTGCACGCCATAGACACCTGTGGAAGGTACCATTTGCCATCATCACAAATGGTGATTTTTCATTATCTTCTACAAAGGAACTAAGACCTTTCCTCATGGGATGAAATTCAAAGCATTTGCCTTATTGAAGAACTTAGAACTCTCCCCTGAGAGAGCAAGTATGGAAGTTGTCACTGAAAAGAAAGAGTTAAAGCAAGAAATAAGAGCACAAAATGGCAATGTATTCTGCTTCTGATAGTCGATAGGAAAGAAAAGGTAATACTTCATGCTATAGGCACAGCCATATGAAGTAAGAATTAGTCCTACCTAAGAGAACAGAGGTGTTTTAAAGAATTTAGAAGGAAACAAAGGCCTGAGAAGGAGGAAGAAGAATGACCTAGCCAGAGCCCCAGCTGAACTCTCAAAAGGTAACACACTGAAGGAGGGATATTTCCATTCCTCTTTCTTCTGCAGAATTAGGTGTGTGTGCCTGGAGTCTTAGTCACACATTCACTGCACCCAGAGGGAACAATATCCAGTTGTTTTACTAAAAAAGAAAAAAAAAAAAAGACATTAAACTTTTTGTGGGATTCGCTCAGATGCCTGCAATGGGGCATTGAGGCCAGCAGGTGCCGGGGCTGGCAGTGCCATGCTCCAAGCTGGCCGCACACAGCCCAGTTTGGCCGGATGCTGCTGCCCCACAGGCCCTGGTGCTGAGCCAGAGCTAAGAAGTCCCACCGGGGACACGGCCTGCACCAGCTCTGATAGAGGCATCTCAGTCTGCGTCCTCAGGATGTACGTAGGGTCTTCTCTTACTGAGCCTCTGGTGTTCTAGTTGAATGGTACTTTCAGGTTCTTTTACTGTAGTAAGATGTGTTTGTGGGTGCTTTAATTAGCAGATTGACATAAACAGGCATCTACAGCTGGAATTATTCATTAGGAGTTGGGTGCCTAATTTCCTTAGATACTTTTGAAAATCTCACCCCATCATGTTTAATTAAAAATGTCAGATGATATCAATACTCAGATGTGTCTGCCGTTGGTCTCCCGAGAAGATTTCCAAAATCTACTTCTCATTCCATCTGTTCCTGACAGAGGAAGGACTGACTTGGCCCATTCTTGAACCAAAACGTCAACAAATAATTTTTAAAGACTATAAACTGCAAATGATATTAATCTCCTGAGTAGGCTTCTGAAACCTTACTTGGATCTGCATGTTCCCAAGTACCTTGTAAGCTAAGAAATGGGAAAGCACGCTATCCGCAAACATTAAAGGAGAACACACTTACATGTAACCCCCATTAGACAACAATTTCCCGATTCACTAAAAGAAAACTACGTATCTTACAGGAGGGCCATGAAGCAAATCCTTTTAAAATCATGCGCACACACATGCACAAGCACACACCTATGCACACAGACATCCAAGTAGCCTCACAATGTTCACTCCGACAGACATTCATAAGGACAAGCTCTTTAGCAGCGAAATTTGTTTTAGGTGAGAATCTGAGGGGTAGGGTGGAATTCACTACATTTTTCCTTAGAAGTCCCTTTATCCTCCTGCTCATGTTTAGTTCCCTGGTAAGAAATAATCTCATTCCTCAAGTATGACAGATCAGGTTTTTTTTTGTTTTGGGTACTCAGCATCTCCTTTTTTTGAGGGAAATAGCCCAGTTTTTCCAGATCTGCCGGTTCAGTAGCATCAGAATTCATGGACAAACTCCATCCCCACCATTCAAGCGTCTCAGCTCTCTGTTGGTAAATCTAGGGCAGTTTTATGATAAAAAATCTGATGCGCTGCCACTAGGAATCAAGGACCCTGCTAGGCTGAGCAACATCTAATTTTTCTATGTATGTGCGTTACTCTACCTTTCCTCCTGTTTTGTTGGGTTTTTTAGTAGCACAAGTGATTTTATAAAGCGACAGTTTAAAAAAAAAATAACATCAGATCAGTTCTTAGTCACATTGAAGGTCTATATTTTATCCCTCAGACATTTTAAAGTTCAGCTGTACTTACTCTGGGAACAGGGGATGTCTGGGTACCTTTCCTTTGACCACTAGTCTCAGGCGTCAGGTCTCGGTGGTCTACCTGAATGTGGCTCTCTAGGTCTTCAGCACTTTCAAATTTGACACTACACTCTGGACACCTCAGACTGCCACACGGTCTCTCGTTCACCTCCTGTGGAGTCAAGCCCGAAGACTGTCCATTGGTGCTCCTGGTCATGCATCCAGCACACAGGCCATAGGGAAGGCCGTTCACATCCAACTTTACCAAGTCCTGCTTATTCCGGAACTCCTTCAAGCACAATGCACACTTGTAGAGTTTTTGCAAGGCCTGGCCGTTGGGCGACGAGGTTGCAGAGTTTCCTGCCAATTTCTGCATATGGAACGTCCCGTGAATTTTCAGCTCAAGGGTAGAGGTGACTGTCTGCATGCAGACAACACAGCGAAACCCGGTGAGGGAGTTTCTGAGATCTGGATGCATCTGGCAGTGCTCGATAAATTCTTCCTCACTCTGCAGTGGCATTTTGCAGATCCGACATGTCCCTGTATCCAAGCTCTTGCTGTGAGTGACTTTGTGCTCCGTTAGGGTCAGGAGTGATGGGAAGCGTTCCCCACAGATGGGGCACATGTAGTGCTTAGCTGGGCCTCGATGGGTCTGCATGTGCTCTCTCAGGCCATTTTCTGAGAAAAAGGTCCTTGAGCAGATATTACACTTGTGGCTACCTTTGATGAATTCTGCTTTCTTCCTAGAACAATCATCCTCTCCAGGCCTGATGTTATGATCTCTCAAACGATGGTTCTGCAAGAGGACCTCCATAGTGTAGGCAGCCCCACAAATGTCACAGCCGTACATGGGCTCAGAAGCATCTACATCATCCTCACTGGCTTCATGACTGTTGGAAGTATCTGGATTCTTCATTAACATGTTCTGGATATCTGCCCCTTCTGTCTTCTTATTTGTTGGGGTCATGCCATTAGCTGTACCGTTCTCAGCGCTAGCATCAAAAACACAATGTTTTTCCCGCAAGTGCTTTTCAAGCAAGATGATGGCATGAAAAGCTTTGCTGCAAAACTTGCAATTGTATTTTTTGCTGTGGGTTGTGATGTGGCACTGCAGTTCTACCTCTGTGCTAAAGGTCTCACCACAGAAGATGCATTTGTGAGACTTTGACGGATTCCCCAAGTGACTATGCTTCACATGGATCTGGAGATCCACCTCCTTCCTAAAATCCCAGTTACAGGCTGTGCAACGATACATCTTCTTTTCATTGCTATGCTTGACTGCCAGATGCACTTGGATAGATACCTTGGAATCAAAAACTTCTTGGCAAAGGGTGCAGTGATACAACACAAAAGTATGCATGTCCAACAAATGCTTCTGCAAATCATCCACCGAAGAAAACTGTTTGTCACAGCTCTCACATACATAATGAGTCGAAGTTGTCATGTAATGTACGGTGAGATGTTGCAGAAGAGACTCCTGGGAATCAAAGTCTTCTTTACACTGAGGGCAAGACTGTTTCCTCAACAGCAACTCCAAATGCAACTTTAAATGGGTTTGAAAACTTTCAAAATTTGAGAACTTTAGATCACACTGATTACATGGGTATTCACCATTAGACACTGAGTTTACGCTAGCAGAAAGCCGTTGCCTTTTAGGGGAAGAGACTTCAACATCAGAAGAAACTGGACTCTGCTCTGCTTTTGACTTCTTATTGTGTGCCAGAGGAATGTTCTTGTGGTTTTCTTTAATATGCTTTGTAAGCTTCAGGATGGAGCCAAAAATGGGGGAGTTTGTGCAATAAGGGCATGAATAAACTTCCATAAAAGACTGTGTTGGCTGAATGACAGGGGAATCCAATTTTGAATTTCCTACATTGCAGTGAGTCTGCTGAATATGCTCAGTCAAGGTTGCTTCGGTCAGAAAGCCCATGGAGCACTGGTTACAGAAGAAAGCGTTGTTGCCATCTTGAGGGGTAGCATTTGGGCCACAGTGAGTAATACGGATGTGTTCTTGTAAGCTATTGATATCTGCAAACATCTCTGGGCAGTAGTTACAGTGAAAGGCAGAAATGTTGCTAAACTGCATCATGGGATAGGCATGGTTTTTGTGCACCTTTCTCACATGTTCATTCAAGTTGTACAGTGTAGGCATGGAATCAAGGCAGATCTGGCACGTGTGGCTTTGCTGAGGTTTGTCTGCGTGAATCGTCTTCAGGTGGATCTCCAGAACAGCAAGGCTGTTGAAGTCGCGCTTCGAGCAGTACGGGCAGCTGTAAGTAACTTTAGACCAGTTCTGGCCTTCCTCTCTGTCCACAGACCTGATTTTCTTTTGTCCTCTCAAAGGCTTTAAGGTCGAATCTGGGGTGGAACCTCTTTCCACCGACGCGCTGGAGTCCGGCGTTGCGCTGCTCATGGACGCCACGCTCCCCAAGACTGGGTCAGGGCTGATGCTGTGATTGCTGGAGTCAGGTTGTCTGTGGCTGTCCAAGTGGCAATAGACTTCCTCCACTGAAGAAAATTGCTCCGGGCACATAGGGCACTTGTGTTTTTTGTTGGCATGGGCTTGATGAATGTGTGAGAGCAGCGAGTTTTCGTCTGCAAATACTTCGGGGCAATGAATACACTGCAAATCTGCCTTCTCGGAAAGCTGTGGGTGGCGTGTCATTACGTGCTTCTCCAAATCTTCAGTCTGACTGAATGTCTCTTCACAGTAATCACACATAAAATCATCCTTCTTCACCTCTTTCTCAGTCTTTGCCATATGTTCCTTGTTCTTTTTATGAGCTTGCATGTGACTCTGCAATGAGCTGGTAGATGAAAACCCGCGTTTACACACAGTACACTTGAATGGTTTGCTGGAGCTGTGGGTTTTCAGGTGAATTTTGAGGTGGTCGCTGCGAGAGAACGCAGCCTCGCATTCATGGCAATGGTACTTCTTATCCCCTGTGTGAAGCTTTATGTGGCGATCCCTACTTCTCTTGTGCTTAAAAAGCCGGCTACAGTAGGTGCATTTGAAAGGTAGTTTGTCACTGTGGATCTGCTCGTGCCTTTTAAGGTAGCTCAGGCGAATGAAGGACTTATCACAAAACTGACAGGGATACGGCAGGCCAGTCCCCCCTTCCTCCTCCCCGATGCCGAGATCACACCCATCTCCTATCATCTGAGTGGGTGATGCAACATCTTTGCTGGAGGGAGATGAAGCCACCCAGGAGAGTTGTGGGTCGTCATCACCATCTGTAATGGGAAAGCAGAAAGGAGATTAAAAACAATTCCCAGTGCATCTGTGAAATAAGGACAAAGCTCGCAACAACACTATGGGCTTCTGCTACTACAGCGCAAAAAAAAAAAATCAACTCAAAAAAACCCCAAAGATCTCTTGAATTTCAAAGGAGGTTTGAGAAAGAGAAATAAAAATGTATTTGTACACATAATTCACAAATATGCCAACATATAGTATTTAAAAAAAGCATTTTTCTTTAGCAGGTTTAACACCTGCTCACTGTACTGTAAAGCAATAAACAATTAATAAAGAAAGCAAAACACAATGTGCAATGAAGCAATACAAACATTTCGAAAAGCTACAGTGTTAAGTGATCACCTGTGATTTTGTGGGTCTTTTAAAATGCTACATCAAGATGATTTTAAGCAATGTCTCCATTAAGCAAAATCCTTCAGTTCTGTCTCAAAACTGTAACAGAATGAAAGGCTGCTCAAAACCAGAGTCGAACATCTAGGTGAAATAAAAGCATCAGATTTGAGACAGCTCTTCTCTCAGAGAAGAGATCTGCACCATCACCACATTCACTCATATGAAAGGTAATGTTGCCTACTTGGTACAAAAATAAACAAATTAAAAAAGCCCAGAAAATCACCACTGGAGATCTCAAGACATCACAAAAGAATCAACTTCAGGATAAACCAACAATGGCCCAACCTCTGTTTGAATAACTATTTCCTTTGCTCAATATGAGGCTTTGGAAAATATTTTATATTACCATTACACAGCACCAACTCCAGCAGCAAAACAGTCATTTTAGGAAAAATACATAAAATATTGGCAGCTTTCATAAACAGAATTGTTAACAAGAAACAGAAGACAGGGAGTTCAAATATCCTAATTCCAATAAATCCGGAGATGTTGAGTGAAGCAAAAATGCCACTAGTCCAGTATAAGACTGAACCACAGAATGAAGCAAAAATAAAATTCATGTAAATTAGGGAAAGTGCTGACCACATATACATTCGGAGATTCAAAAAATGACCCATTTCTCCAGATACGTTGTCCTTATAAAACATTTAGTGTTCCTACTTCAGCTCTTACTAAAACAAACCAATAAAAAAATCCCCAACTGTGCATGTAGGCTGCCACACGCGCACTCCTCGTGCCTGCCAACTACAGAGTCACCAGGCGGAGCAGAGCACATGTATGGCGGAGAAGCTCTCAAAGAAAGGCTCGGCTAATGAGGATATCCCCACCGTAAGAGGCTAGCTCCTGTGGCACCGTTTGCTTTGGCAAAGACCTCCTTTTTCATCCCAGGAAAAGAGAGCGCAGAGCTATCTTGGAAAAACTAAACCAAATAACCACACACCAAACAACCTTTCCCGCACAACGAGGCCGCCTGTTTTCCGGGATGCAGGGGTCAGGCGCCCGCTCCCTTCGCCCCGCGCTCCCCAGGGAGCTCTGCTCCCCCCTCTAACTAAACCTCCTGCTCCAGAGTGATGCTGGACACTGAGAACGCACGTCCTCCTGCTCCCGAAATGCACCCTGGCTCTCAGCAAGCACCCGTGCTTCTACGATGCTCAAGGTCTTTGTGCTCAACTAACTCCTCTGAGCTTGGTGGAGC